CTTCTGATAGTCTGGCATATCTGATAATCCGGCACCCCCTGGGTCCTAAGTATGCTGGATAATGGGAAGTTTACTATAGTAGGTACTGTTGGTGTAACTAGATCCGAGCACAGCTTCTCCTTCAGCCTTAGGAGTATCTATTATCATTTGTGGTCTCTTCTCTAGTGCTCAGAGACTGCCTTCTACCTGCCCACTACACTGATTATTGTCTTTTTATACAAAGAGTAAGAAGGCTAATTGATTTGCCCAAAATCACAGAGACTTGAACCAAGATCTTCCAACTGTAGGCTAGTCTAACCACTGTAACATTTTCTTCTTCCTGCAGTGACAGACATGATTTAAATATCTGAAATTTTCAACTCCAGAAGGAACGGATCAAGCAACACATTTTCTATGTACTATTAAACGCAAATTGTTTTCTTAATACCATCTCCCTCAAGGGCCACAGGTTAGAAATCCTGACCCAAAACAGCTTTACTGATAATGCTTTATGTATGCAAGAATTTAAATTTTTATATACATCTTACCAGTCCGTAGGCAGTACTTCTCTCATGTTCTTGTGTTATATCAGCTACATAAGCAAATATTACAGAGAAAGTAACAGAAAAGACTCCAGATACTGAAATCATAGCAAAATACCACCTAAAAATCAAAAGGAGAATGTAAAAGATACTCCAATTTATCTTCTACTACAAAAAACCACTGTTTATACCATGCAAATTTGTTAATATTTAGTCTAGAACCTAATACATATTTAAAATACATATATCCACAATGTTGATTGATCTGTAGATTAATTAATATTGTAAAATCAGTGCCAGCAAAGCTATCAAACATCCAAATATATTGTTCTAATGAAAGTAGCAGCATTTTCTTTTTTTAGAGAATTATGAGGAAAAACTCCCAATTTCTGACTGGCCTCTCACAAAGGATAATAATTCCCACGAAATTATCATACTCTCAACTCCCAATTTCTGACTGGCCTCTCACGAAGGATAATGATTCCCACGAAATTATCATACTGTCAAAAAAAAAAACTATGATGAATTTCAGTTGTGAAGTAGAACTGTCTAAAAACTTAACTATCCAAAGTTGTAATACAGTGAAATATTTTTCTGCAAAAAATGTACTCGAATCACCTTTCAGTGAATGAACAATAGTTAATCCCTATGCATTAAGGTTTTACAAACTTTCAAATTCAGAGCATGATTAGAGGCTTTGAGGCAGTCAGCAGGTATAGGAAGTTCTCTTAATATTTTTGCTTCCCCAAAAAACAGCAAATAAAAGGGAAATGGAAGCAATACAGCTCAAATTTCAGAGCTCTATAATACAACGTCAAAGATTTTCTGTATTTTATACTTCACAGTGTTATTCACCCATTTAGAATAGCTACTATTAAACATTCATTTGTCTTGTAAAATATATTGGTTATTAGTGCAGCTCTGTATAGGTCTCAAAGAGAAAATGTAGTAGATGTTATTAGTGCAGCTCTGTATAGGTCTCAGAAAGAGAAAACGTAGTAGAGCTTAGCATTTACAACTGCAGTGTACTTATGTAATGCATTCTAAGCATTTTTAGCAATTACTGTTAGGATTATGTGTGTGTAAACAGTCACTAACTCAGTTTACAGGAAGCATTTACTTCTTTAAAAATCCTATGCACAAAATCAATGTTTAGAACATGAACAAAGAAGTGCAAGGATGATTTAATTACATTTTGAAAGTAAATCATTTTCTTCTTGCCTAGTTATCCTTATTTTCCAAACACCAATCCACCTTTAATTGAGTTCCTCATACTTCCCTGCTGTACCACTTACCATGGACTAATCCTCATTAATGGAATTGGGACACAAGTGAAGAAAACTGTAACAAGAAGAAAAGACTTTCTTCCCCACACATCAGATAGAGCACCAATTAATGGAGCACTCAGAAAGGATAAAAAACCCTGTAAAAGAAAAAAAGGTTATTTTAAAATGCATTTTGAAGCTAGATTTCAAAATGGAGCAGATTTCACATGCTTTGTTTAGTTGCTGTTATAGGATAAGGAAACTTCAGAGCTAATGATGGAATGTTTTAGATTTTATTTAAATTACAAAACAGACTATAAACCTATAACCAAAAACCTACATGAAAATAAAGCTTATTGCAGCTACATGACACTTATAAAACTATATTCTTTCACTCATGTTCTACCCAACTATTACATTCTTTGCACCACTATAACAAGTGTGGTATAGGTTTCCTTTTCTGTAGCATAGAACTGGTTAGACAATGCGACAATCTTTCCCCTTGTTTTTCACCAACATTTAGTATTTGCTATGTGCTTAAACCCCTTAGCTATTTCAGACTGGTATTCTAACTAAGATGCCATTACTATCTACAATTGGGTAAAACATCCCATTTCAGTCTATTTTCTTCAACTCTGCCTAGCAGAAAACAGTTTCAATATCAACACCCAAGGAGCAGGTTGTAGTCACCTGCCTAGCAGAAAACAGTTTCAATATCTTTAGTTCAAAAGGGAGGGTGAGCATCTCTTTTCAAAACAGACAACATTACTGACAGGCTAAATCAGCAAGAAGCAAACACCCAAGGAGCAGGTTGTAGTCATCCATCCTCTCCCTGCAGGCCAAATAGTAATTTACCTAGATATACCTAGAGCCTTACTGTACGAATGAAATGGTACTTGTTAGCGATGTTCCCTCTAATCTTTTCCACATGTGAAATAAATGTTTATGTACACCAAAGCATATGTGAATGTGCATCACCAGCAAAAACAAAAACCTAGCTTTGGGCACTGTGCTAATCAGGCGGGTGGCATTTGAATCTCTCCTGAGTGGCAACAGACGCGCTTAGCTTACACTGAACACTGCCCGTCCGATACTCTCTAAAACCTGAATATCCATTCTGTTCTGTGCTGTTGCAATACCAAATGAAGTCTTTAAAATAAACAAGTCAGTTTCAGGCACTGGTCATTTAGTTAGTATAATCTGGTACAACTAAAATTGAACAGTTAAAAAAAAGAAAGAAGTAACGTTGTCTGCCTTCACTTCACTGCGATGTAGGTAAGTTACTTATTTGCAGGCTATTATTATCCACTACAGCCAAAATTCACTAAAGTGCTTTGCGGGCCACATCTTATGTACAAATCAAAACACCTATAGTCTCAGGGATATTTTTCTCTACAAACTTATTAAATCAGATACATGAAAGGATTGATGTGTCAATCTTTCCTAATATCCATTACGTATACTGAAGTATATTTACACCATGAGCTCACATCAACTCTACTTCATAGCTCTACAATGTGGTATAGAAAACTTAAATTTTGAAAGTAGTACACGCAACCCCTGCACTTATGACATAATTGGTTCCTGGAGAACTGCCATAAGTTAAGCCATTATAAGTCAAACCCTTATTTCCCATAGGTGCAATGTTATAAATGGCAGTTCCATTCCTGGAAACCCATTTTATACCCTAAAAATACAACCAGGCAGGGCACTACTGTAACAGAGCCAGCTACAGCTCCCAGTCCCGCCCGCTGTGATTCCCATGAGCCCACATGGCAGGAGAAACAGCCACCCGCTTTGCCTCCTGGGAGTTGTAGTCCCCAGTGTGCGGAACTTGAGAGGCCACGCTGGGCCAGAGCAGGGCAGTCGCTAGGGATAGCCACAGCGATGCTGATCAGGGCCCAGGGCAAGGCCCCAGGCTGGCAAGGCACCAGTTCAAACACTGCTGGCCAATACTGGCACTAACACATGGAGTCTGCATCATAAACGCAGGGGGTCATAAGTCAGAGGTTGCCTGTAATCCCTTTTTCCTCACATGTTTATGTACAATCATCCTTTTTATTTTTAGTACATAAAAGAAATTACACAAGTCATAGAACAGCTTGTATAAAAAAGCTGACATTTACATTCACATGACCAGCAGCTCTGCAGTTATCAATAAACCTTTGATGCAGTATACAAAAAAAAAAGTTACAATACTTAAAATGGTTCATTTTCTTCTTTTTAGGTCAGGGCCCCTGTAGCTACAACACTAATATTTCAGATTTAAACATCTGATAAAATTAAATTTGCATTTTTAAGGCCCCATGACTGTGAAATTGACCAAAAATGAACTGTGAAATCGGTAGGGCCATACCTATTAGTCAAGATGACCAGGGACTCAACCCCATGTTTCAGGTATCCCAAGACTTCGACTACCAGAAGCTGGGACTATACAAAGTAATATATATAGCAGTTCATTCCCTCTGAATCATCTGGCACTTGCTATTGTCGGAAAATAGGATATAGGGCTAGATGGATCATTGGTCTGCTTGAGAACGGCAGACTTATGTTCATTTCTTGAAAATAATAGACACTAGCTTACTTGAGAAAAGGGAGAAGTATGGGGAGTCAATGTCTGTCATGTATTAGCACTGTTTATTAAGTCAATATTTGAAAAATAAGGCCATAGATACTAAAATCGTAAATAGAGAAAAACAGAGTTAATTGAATACTCTGGTTAACAGCATTATACTTTATTCACATTCTTTGAAAATTGGTATCCCATTGATATAATAAAATGAATAAAGTACAAGACATTGGTATCCCATTGATATAATAAAATGAATAAAGTATAAGTGTACAGTTACTTACCAATCCTGTAACAATACTGCACAGCAGAGTGATTGATTTGTTGAAGCACTTATGTGTAAATAGAGTTTTCTATATTATAGGTCATCTTATGACACTACATAACACTATGGACAGAGAAGGGCATACACCGGATCTCTAAAAATGCACTTAACACTAAAACTATAATCAACATCATTTAATCTTTTGTGATTATTCAGAATCTTACAGTGCCTCGGGGTCATTATTATTAACATCAATTATTATGGTAAATACAGACAGTGTAGGAGATCGAGATGAATCTGTAAAGACCCTATGACACACTCTGAAAGCTGCTTTTTAAAAAAAATCCCAGATAGCAGCTTGTCTTCTGCCTCTTGTGCATAAAAGTTAAGTCCAAAATGTGCAACTGTATAACATGCTGGGCAGTGCACTAGTCCCAGTTACTAGATTAAAGATTGTTTTGGGAGATATCAGAAATGCCAGTTAATTAAGTGCTGAATAACAGAGCTAAGGGACTGTCAAGGCTGCTCAAAATAAGACTTGCTTGCAAAAAAAGGTGTTTTATATTTCCAGAAAATGCTTCAAACGTTAATTGAAAACAAACCCCCAACACCTTCAAACTGATGAATAAGCTTAGGGATGAGGAAAAAACTGATTTTGACATTTCAAATCCAAGTATTCAAGACATTACTATAACAAATGAAGGGATAACAGTGATAAACATTTGTGTTTGAGATCACTGTAACTCAAACACACACAAAATATTATGTTCAAATGTCTATGGGAGTCTTACCTTAACACCCTGAATAAGACCATTCATTAGAAATGTATGCTGAGGAAATGTTTCATGTAAGACCTAAGGAGAAGGAAAATGTTAAAATTTAGGTTGCATGTGAATTAAACAAAAGAAGTGAAAAGAGAAATCTTGACAAAAATGTAACCCACTCTTGCTAATCAGGAGGCACAAATACAACTGCACTAAACCTTATTGAAAGTGTATCTATCAGACTCAGTAGAATTTTGGGCTTGGTCTACAGAAGTAAATTATACTCATGTAAAATAAGATATCAGTTTGAGCTAGTGTATCTATACTGAGATAATCCTTCAGTGGATACCTATTCCAGGATAAATGTTTTTCTTCTATTTAGCTTATACTGTATGGGAAGGGGGTTTAAACTGAACTAGAAAAAAATGTCTCACTTATTCTGGAAAAAACAATGTGCTCATACTAATATAGTTAAATCAAAATACTCAAGAACAACTACACCCAAATAAATGGCCCCAACACTGCCATATTAGATAAACACCATTTTTAGTCTAATTTGAGAACTTTAACTTAGGCCTTTTAGAAGAATAAAAGTCCATATAAAAGTTTTATTGATTACTGTCAGGAATCAGTCAGCAAGGGAGGGGAGAGAGAAGCAGGAGCCATTGCAGAAGGGAGCCATCTTAAAAGCCGGTTCCTTCCCTATCACCATCTCGTGGGAGGAGCAAGGGGGACAGGGAAGGCAGAGAAGCTGCAGGAGACCTAGCACGAGCTGATTTAGACATTGGGAATCAACTGACTGTCAGCTCACACTGGGTCCCAAAGGCTGAGCCTCCGATGTGATTTAGACATTGGGAATCAACTGACTGCCAGCTCACACTGGGTACCAAAGGGTGAGCCTCCGATTTTTAAATGTAGTAAGAGACCACATTTAAAAGGCAGAGATACAGCAGGAGACCGGGGTGGTGGGAGAGGAGGAAGGAGAGGAGGGAAGCAACTAGTCAAGTACTGATTCAGCTGTCTGATATGCCTAGGCTTATTGGGTAGTCAACTAGTCGCTTACATCCCTAGTATGGCTCGTGATTCAACATCTGCTGTAGGCAGAGGTAGGTCAATAGAATTTACTTTCTGGTGACCTAGTTTCTCCCTCTCTGGGAGGTGGATAATCCTTTTACTTTTTGTCCTACTTTCTGTACATATAGATAATAACTGACCACTTCCCTCTTAACCAGTGAGTGCTGAAGAAGCTCCCGCCTGCTGCAGGCAGGGGGCTGCATCAGCCCCGGAGGCTTGCTATGGGCAGGGGCACTCCAGTCGGCTGGAGCAGCAACTGTCCACAGCAGGCCTGGCCCAGGCTACTTCCCTCTCCCTCACCATGCCTCCCCTTTAATCTGTTAATCAGTTAAACACTAGGTTTAATCAGCTGGTTCCCAGCTTGTAAATACTTAGATCTGCATTTAAAAGGTCTACACTGAGGATTTTTATTGGTATAACTGTGTCTGAGGGGTCTGAAAAATACATGTGCTAAGATAGGGCTTAAGGATGTTAAAATGGGCATAATCCGCTACTTAAGTAGTCGAATTTCCATAGACTACTTGATCAGTCGATGGGGGAAGGGGCGTATCCCCGCTGCAGCTCTGCAGTTTAATTGTAGTAGGAGCCAGATTGCTGCCTGGCTCCTACTACATTTAAACTGAAGAGCCACAGCAGGGGTTAGCTCCCTGGGGGCGGTGCAAACCAGGACTAAGCAGTCTCAGCTCACTCCACCCCAGGAGGTAACCCCTGCTGTGGCTCTTCAGTTTAAATGTAGTAGGAGCCAGGCAGCAATCTGGCTCCTACTACAATTAAACTGCAGAGCTGCAGCGGGGATACGCCCCTTCCCCCATCGACTGATCAAGTAGTCTATGGAAATTCGACTACTTAAGTAGCGGATTATGCCCATTTTAACATCCTTAAGCCCTATCTTAGCACATGTATTTTTCAGACCCCTCAGACACAGTTATACCAATAAAAATCCTCAGTGTAGACCAGCCCTTGGGCAGTGTCCATTTGAAAAGCCTTTACATCATTAACCTGAAGATAAAGGCCACATCCTACTACCAATCCTTTAAATGATCTAGTCATTTGGAGAGCAAGCTGCCTTCTATAAGGGTTTAAGCAGCCATACAATCTGTTTTTAACATTAAGATCTTTAAATTATACTACAAATGTTACGCAGATATAACCAACAAACAACATTGCATTACAAATTATAATAGTCACTGCCCATAATTGCTATTACTTGCAAATAAAGCATATACAGGCAGTCCCCGGGTTATGTACAAGATAGGGACTGTAGGTTTGTTCTTAAGTTGAATCTGTATGTAATCTGATCAGTTTCAACCGTGGCTGAATCTGGATGCCAGTTCTGACTTACATACAGATTCAACTTAAGAAACCCAGGCATCCCCAAGTCAGCTGCTGCTGAAACTGATCAGCAGCTGATTCCAGGAAGCCTGGGGCAGAGCAACTCTGCCTCCGGCTTCCTGTAGTCAGCCGCTGGTCAGTTTCAGCAGCGGGTGACTTTGGGGCGCCTGGGGCAGCGCAGCT